CCTCCGGAATAACCAGACTAAATATTGTCGAAGGCTTTCATGGCCGGAATCACTCAGTTCTTGTGGGTTTTTTCGGGCTATATGGCCATGTTCTAGAGGCATTTCTCCTGACATTTCGCCTGCATCTATGGTGACCTCACCTCTGAGGAAGCTTGCCATAGATGCAGGCGAAACATCAGGAGAAATGCCTCTAGAACATGGCCATATAGCCCGAAAAAACCCACAAGAACTGAGACTGAATATTATTTCAAAGACATAGAAATAACCATAAATTCAAATTGTCGTCTGTATCTAACTCTTATCATCTAATGAAACTCTTGGATTTTGTAAGGCCTACCAGTTTTAATAGCAAGGTCCCTCCAGCTACTTCCAAAGTCAGATAATATCAGGACCTTTGTGTGTGTCGGTCCACTTCCAAGCACAATTCAAAGTGCTGATCTTGACCTATAAAGCCCTATATGGTTCCGGCCCAGCTTACCTGTCTGAACGTATCTCCCTCTGCGTCCCGCCTCATAGTTTAAGATCATATGGGGAGGCTTTGCTCTCGGTCCCGCCAGCCTCACAAGTACACTTGGTGGGGAAGAGGGAGGCTGAGAAAGATCGTATACAAATATGTTAAATAATCATAAATAATAATAACTAGAAATCAGACTAGACTCCCTTCAAAATGTGGCCATCAAGACATTAGATTTTGGAAGAGTTCAGGGTGAAAAAAAATCTTTCAAGACTCAGTTTGTAATAGTCTCCAAGGCTAATGCATACTTTCTTGATTTTCTCATGCTTCCTTGGTAACAATAGTTCATGAATTGAATCTGGTGCACCTCTGTTAGAGAAGGGGGGAAATCGATTAACACTCATATTAAAAGTGTTCCCCACACTCAAATATGGATGACCTATTTACAGAGCCTTCAGCAGGAAAGGAGAGAAACAGGGGAATGGGCTTTGGGAGCAGAAAACAGCTCGCAGCTCCATGTCTGAATGCTATTAACAAGTTTGCATTTTAATTTACTCGGAAGCAAGAGCCGCAGATTTAAAAAGCCACTGCTCATAGTTGTTTTGAACCTCCAAGACCAAACAGGTCTTTTTTTTTCTTTTATCTGCTGCTAGTTCTGCTGTTCTCCCATTCTTAGTTTTGCATCAGTTGTTCTGCACAATATGAAAACCGCCTTCTCTTCAAACCGTGTCAGGTCAATAAAATGTAGCACCTCAAGCCATTTTGATTTCTTCCAACTCTTCAAAATACTGCTCTAGCTGTGTGTGTATGCCATATTCTAAGGATTAACTGAGTATAGCATTGTTAAGACACTGATAAACCTCTGTAGGGACATGCTGGGAGCAATGAATGAGATTTCCCTCCTCCCATCTACTCAATAAAAAATACTTTCTATTAAAATTTGAAGTTTTAACTAAACATGATCGAGGTATTTTTTTATTGTAAATCAGACGAATCTCTGACAAATTAATAGATAATTGCAACTGTGACACAAACTATTGAATTGCCAGGTATCGATGGCTCCGTAATTCATGAAAGGCGCAAGCAGCAAGTTATTGATCGGAGGCTGATGTCACACAGTGACACAATGTGTCTGTGAAGAAGAGTTCAAGCTAATTTAAAGACATTATAAGGCAAGAGGCATGCCTTCCAACTATTTTAGCAGTGCAACCATTTGGGGAAAGTATGATGAAAAAAGAATGGAAAGAGTTTTCAGAAGGCTGCACCATAAGATTTTCATACAAAATCTACACACATGGTAAACAAAACAAACAAACAAAAACTACACCCCTTCCAAATTGTGGATTTAATAGTCTCCATGAAAGTAGACTTTTTCCAATTTCCTGAACTGTATTCTGATAAAACTTGCATCTTGCCTCACATATTTCAATATTTTCAGGATATTTGGGTTTGTTTTTTAAAAATTGTGTCAGAAGTGACTTGAGGATCTCACAACCTCTGAGGATGCCTGCTATAGATGTGGGCAAAATGTCAGGAGAGAATGCTTCTGGAACATGGCCAAACAGCTAAAAAACGTAAAGCAACCCAGACTTCACAACCCGCCTCGAGTCACTCGAAGGCTGAGAGGGGTGGTATACAAATACAGTAAATAAATAATATACTGCAATTTGCTTCTGGTGTGAGAGATTTGGCTGTCTACAGGGACGTTGCCCAGGGGACGCCCTGATGTGTTACCATCCTGCTGGGCGGCTTTTCTCCTGCCCCTGCAAGCTAAAGCTGACAGATGGAAGCTCACCTCTTCTCACGGATTCGAACCTTCAACTTTCAGATCAGCACTGCAGCTGGCACAAGGGTTTAACCCATTGCACCACCTCGGATTTAGGGTATTTGGGTGAAACTGCATTATATGGCTGTGTAGATGGGGCCTCGGGCAAAGCAAACTATTGCAGGCTCTCCTAGCCCTTGTTTCTTCCTTATTCATAACTTTTGCTATCTAGACCACTGTTTCTTAAACTGTGGATCCTGACCCTAAATGGGCCCCCTTAACTCACCATTAAGAAGGTCACAAAAATGTGGCAACAATAAAAGATGCCTGAACTTAGTTGCTATTTTAGCCGTTTCCTTGTACAGTATCTGTTAGCAGCAATGTGCACTTGCAGTGTTTACAGTGGACTCTGCAGAATATGCTTCAGCTGTACTTCATAAAAAGGGAACTCAGTCTGTTTAGCAAGTCTTGCAAATGCTGATTTGTTATCAATAAATGTTTGGTTTTCTACTTGCTTTATATACCTATTTACCTGGGTCGTGTAAAATAATTTCCAGCAGAAGGGGGCCACAAGTGGAAAAAGTTTTAGAAGCCCATATCTGATGCTGATGCTGTTTGGCTAGACAAAAAATGTCCCAGTTTTTGTCTGTGAAATGTTGGAGGGTATGATGATGATGATGATGAATTTATTACCCGCCTCTGCCTGTAGCTCGAGATGGAATACAACCTAATTAAAACAAGAGATTAAACACAACACAAAGACATATAACAAGACACACAGACTTAAATAGAAGTTCAAATCCACAAATGAAATGCAGATTTAAAATCACAAATTTATTAGGGCCTATGAATAGCAAGTTTCCTTCGAAACCTGTTCGTTGTCTTCATCTCAGAGATGCCTCCTTCTTTGTTCCATCTTGTCAAAAGGTATATTACACATAAAAGACCGGGAAGGGAATAAGTTCAGGGGAAGGAAAGCAAGCAAGCCCATTTCCCACTGCAGGGCTGAACTTCTATCTCTGCTGTGTGTTGAATGCGCCTGCATGGACAGAATCTATCAGGCAGTCAATCTCTGCAGAAAACAAACAGCAGGAAGCCTTCTACATAAAACGCTACTTTTCCGTCTGGACTGGTAGCATTTTCTCACACAAACCGAAGAGAACCCGTCAGAAGATGTTTGCCGGTGTGAAGGAGGCCCAAAGACAAGTGCTGGGAAGAGAGAGAGAAATATGGAAATAGCCAAGCAACCACAGTGTGCTTTAGCTCCGTGACTTGGCTCAGTCGAGGAAAGGTTTCATTCACCAATGTGTCAATCTGGGCAGAATGGGATGAGGCAGTCCCTGTAGTTTTCAAAACAATTGGGTCACACCGTCTACAGAAAACCCACACACACAGATAGATATCTACATAAAAACTCCAACCATCACCCAAGTCAAAAAAGAAGCACCATTAAAGCCTTGGCAGACCGTGCAAAAAGAATCTGTGAGCCCCACCTCCTCCAAGATGAACTGAACCACCTCAACTGGGCTCTCCAGGCCAATGGATACTCCACCTCAGACATCAGAAGAGCTGCAAGACCAAGAACAAGCCACGAGAGTAAAGATGAAGATCCACCCAGAGGAAAAGTGTTCCTGCCATACATCAAGGGAACCACTGATCGCATAGGGAAGCTGATGAGGAAACACAACATACAAACAATCTACCAACCCACCAAGAAAATCCAACAAATGCTACGTTCAGCAAAGGACAAGAGGGATCCTCTCACCTCTGCAGGAGTCTACCGTATACCATGCAGCTGTGGACAAGTCTACATAGGGACCACCAAACGCAGCGCCCAGACACACATCAAGGAACATGAAAGGCACTGCAGACTACTTCAACCAGAGAAGTCAGCCATAGCAGAGCACCTGATGAACCAACCTGGACACAGCATATTATTTGAGAACACAGAAATGCTGGACCACTCTCACAACCACCATGTCAGACTACACAGAGAAGCCATTGAAATCCATAAGCATGTGGACAATTTCAACAGAAAGTAGGAAATCATGAAAATGAATAAAATCTGGCTACCAATATTAAAAAACTCAAAAATTACAACAGTAAAACAACAGAGAGTAAATAATCAGGCACATCAAATCACCTCTCAAAGAAAGATTGCCCCAGGCACAGTCAGCCCATTGTATGCTAATCAAGGTGGTCAGTTGGAAGATTCAGACCTAGCCCAACTTACAAAAGTCCTTTGTCTCACCCTGGTCATTCCACAGATATATAAACCCCTTTTTTCCCAGTTCCAGCAGACCTCACTACCTCTGAGGAAGCTTGCCATAGATGCAGGCGAAACGTCAGGAGAAATGCCTCTAGAACATGGCCATATAGCCCGGAAAAACCTACAACAACCCAGTGATTCCGGCCATGAAAGCCTTCGGCAATACAGGAAGAAATACTGTTGACCCACAAGTATAAAGAAATTACATATATTAGAAACCAACACTTTCTCAATACTTAATTTTCCAGATCAACAGACTGGGCCATAGCAATGCGTGGCAGGGACAGCTAGTACTTTTCTAATGGTCTTTGACACCCTTTTGACACCTCTTTAGATTGAGAAACACTGGTGTAGCAAACCTTACCACTGCTGGACTATTGTAGGTTTACATCAGCTGAAAAAGAAAGAAAGAAAAAAAAAGATAGAAAAGGGGCGTGGCCATTGTAAGTCCCGCCCCTCCGCGGCATGAGAGGCAGCTCCTGGGAGTGGGCGGAGCCTGCAGCGGCCCCGCCTCCTTCTGCTGCCTCGTTGCGACGCCTCCGCCTCGCCCCCTTTTCTCCCTTTGGAGAAGCAGAGTCGGCGGCAGCGGCGAAGGGAAGGAGAAAGGGAGAGGGGGAGAAGGAAAAAAAAAAGGCGCCCTCCCGCCTCATCCTTTGTTTTTGTGGTTCCCTCGCGTATTGAGCGTTCCTCGGCGTTGCGTTGTTCCGCGCGCCCTCCCGCCTCGCTTTCCCTCCCCCGCCTCCTTTGTGTGAGAGCGAGGCCCCTTTCCCCCCTTTTGTCGCGGAGGGAGAGGGTCGAGGATGGGGCCGAGCGGGGGCCTCTGCTACTACTGGGTGAGGAGCCGCCGGAGGAGCAGCAGCAGCAGCCCTTGAAGCCGAGGAGGAGGAGGAGGAGGAAAGGGAAGAAGGGCGACCACCACTTCCGCCGCAGAGACCCTCCGCCGCCGCCTCAGGTAAGAAGAAGGAGAGGCCAGAGAGTGGGGCAGCAGCCACAAAGGCCAAGGCCATCCTAGGCTGTCTCAAGAGGAAGGAGATCGCCATTCAAGGGGGGGAAGGGGGACAAAAGGGTCCAACGCAGCCCTCCCCATGAGGAACGGCTTGAGGAGCTGCTGATGTTTTGCCTGCAAAAAGGAAGGCTTATACAGACATATAACCCAGAGTATCAAGGCAGAAAATGACACAATGTCTACTTTGAACTTGGATATCTGAGTCCATCCCTTCCCAGGCAGCAACCAGCCAGGCTTTGAAGCTGCAAGGCCATTCAGTGCTACACAGTGTGACCAACTGCAACATCTATAGTCTATATATATTAAGAGTCCATCCCTTCCCAAGCAGCAACCAGCCACGCTTTGAAGCTTCAAGGCCATTCAGTGCTAGTCAGTGTGACCAATTGCAACATCTATATTCTATATATATAAATAAAAATGTAATGTTCGTTTGTGGGATTAACATAACTCAAAAACCACTGGACGAACTGACCAAATTTGGACACAATACACCTAACAGTCCAACGAGTGTCCATCACCCATAAACGCATGCACGCGCACACACAAAACACCAGCGAAACAGACTTAAAACCCCCAAAAATACACCATATATACATATACACATACACCCATATGCACATGCACACATTCATATATACACACGCATATATATGCACACACACACATATACATATACACATGCACACATACATATATACATATACACATGCATGCACATATACATATCCACATACATACATATATACACAAAAACATGCATATAGACAAGCACACACACATACACACTATGCATGTACACATATAAATACACAAATATATATACGCATATATACACACACATATATATGCACGCACACAAAACAGGGGGGCCAGACTTAAAAACCCCAAAAATGCACCATATATACATATTCATATACACCCATATACATATGCACATGCACACATTCATACACACACACACACACACACACGTATATATATGCACAAACACACAAATATACATATACACATGCACATATACATGCATACATACATATATACATATACACATGCACGCACATATACATATCCACATACATACATATATACACAAAAATATGCATATAGACAAGCACACACATATACACACTATGCATGTACACATATAAATACACAAATATATATACGCATATATACACACACATATATAGGCAACCACACATATATACACAAACAAAACACATACACAGACTGGGCTACAGCAACACGTGGCAGGGGACGGCTAGTTATATATATTGTATGTATGTATAAATGATGGAGTCCTCGGTGGCGCAGTGGGTTAAACTACTGAGCTGCTAAGCTCTTTGACAGAAAGGGCGCAGATTCAAATCCAGGGAGTGGCGTGAGCTTCCGCTGTCAGCTCCAGCTTCTGCCAGCCTAGCAGTTCGAAAACCTGCAAATGTGAGTAGATCAATAGGTACCACTCTGGCGGGAAGGTAACAGCGCTCCATGCAGTCATGCTGGCCAACATGACCTTGGAGGTGTCTACGGACAACGCTGGCTCTTTGGCTTCGAAATGGAGATAAGCATCACACCCCAGAGTCTGACACAACTGGACTTAATGTCAGGGGACAACCTTTAGCTTTACCTATGTGTGTGTGTAGTATGTATATATATCTTGTATGCCGCTCTGAGTCCCTTTCGGGGTGAGAAGGGTGGCATAAAAATGTCGTAAATAAATAAATACATAAATAAATAAGTAAATAAATAAATACATGAATAAATAAGTAAATAAATACATAAGTAAATCAATAAATAAATACATACATAAATAAATTGCCTCAAGCAGACAAGAGTTCTGTGGTGAGAACTGTCATAAAACATGGCTAACCGTAGCCAGGAACAGGGGAATGGGATAGTGCAAGTTGTAGCTATTGGAAACTAAGCAAGGGAGGTTCATATATCTGTGGAAGGTCCCAACAAAGGATTCCCCCAGGCAGCAATCAGCTGGGTTTTGAAGCTGCGTGGTCATTCAGTGCTAATCAAGCTGGCCAATTGCAATATTCACATTTGCCTCAAGCAGACAAGAGTTCTTTCTCCCACCTTGGACATTATTCCACAGATATATAAAGCTCACTTCCCTAGTTTCCAAAGGTATTAGCTGGCCCTGATTGATTATTGTCTGGAATTCTACAGTTTTCTGAATGTTGTTCTTTATTTATTTATTTAATGTTGTTCTTTATTTACTGTCCTGATTTTAATACTGGTGGCCAGATTTTGTTCATTTTCATGGTTTCCTGATTTCTGTTGACATTGTCCACATGCTCGTGGATTTCAATGGCTTCTCTGTGTAGTATGACATGGTGGTTGTTGGTGTGGTCCAGCATTTCTGTGTTCTCAAATAATGTGCTGTGTCCAGGTTGGTTCATCAGGTGCTCTGATATGGCTGACTTCTCTGGTTGATGTAGTCTGCAGTGCCTTTCATGTTCCTTGATGCGTGCCTGGGCAATGCTGCGTTCGGTTGTAGACTTGTCCTGATTGATGGTGGGATCTGCTTCTGGTGGATTTTAAGCAGAGGCAGGATGGGCCTCTGCAAAGAGGGCTTTGATTGTGTTTTCCTTCCTGGCAGAATGGAGTTGGCCTGGCTGGCCCTTGGGGTCCCTTCCATTATGTTTAATTTGTGTAATGTATTGTATTGGGTTGTTGTAGGTTTTTCCGGGCTATATGGCCATGTTCTAGAGGCATTTTCTCCTGACGTTTTGCCTGAATCTATGGCAAGCATCCTCAGAGGTAGTGAGGATGCTTGCCATAGATGCAGGCGAAACATCAGGAGAAAATGCCTCTAGAACATGGCCATATAGCCCAGAAAAACCTACAACAACCCAGTGATTCCGGCCATGAAAGCCTTCGACAATACAGTGTATTGTATTGTTTGTGGTCTATTTACTTTGTTTTATACAGGCATCGGATATTTGCCTTTTATTATGTTGCAAGCCGCCCTGAGTCCCCTAGGGGAGATTGGGCAGGCTACAAATAAAGCATTATTATTATTATTATTATTATTATTATTGTGAGTATTTGCAGATGCAAAGGCACTTTTCTGCTGCAGGGTCCCTATCCATCCCTGCTTGGAAATCCTTCAACTGTGACGTTAGTGGGAAATCGTTTTTTGCAGCATGGATGCGATGGAAGGTTTCAATGGCACTTAACTGCAAACGTCATTGAAGGATGCAAAATCTGATTTTAAAAACTCTGAAATCAGGACAGTAAATAAAGAACAACACTAAAAAAGCAGGGAAATTCCAGACAAGAATCAGGACCAGCTAATGCCTTCCAACAAAGACCCCTCCATAGAGCAACCAGGCAGAATTTGAAGCTGCAAAGCCATTCATTGCTAATCAAGGTGGCCAATTGCAACATTCACACTTGCCTCAAGCAGACAAGAGTGCTTTCTCCCACCCTGGACATTCCACAGATATATAAACCTCGTTTGCCTAGTTTCCAGCAGACCTCACAACCTCTGAGGATGCCTACCATAGATGTGGGTGAAATGTCAGGAGAGAATGCTTCTGGAACATGGCCACACTGCCTGGAAAACTCACAGTAACCCAATGGCAGAATATAGCTGGTGTTGTAATAGTGAGTCTATAACATGTGCCTTCAATGATGCTGTTTCAGAACAGATCTGGAAGTATTCCAGACACAGTAAGTTATCAGCACAGTGAGAACTATTTTACACCTACAAACGGATTTGGAAAACTACCGGGCACAATTCAAAGTGCTGGCTTTAGCCTATAAAGCTCTAAACGGTTTCTGGTCCAACTTACCTGTCCGAACGCATCTCCTCTTATGAACCCACTAGGACATTAAGATCATCTGGGGAGGCCCTGCTCTCGTTCCCGCCTGCGTCACAAGTACGTCTGGTGGGTAAGAGAGACAGGGCCTCCTCAGTGGTGGCCCCTCGGCTGTGGAACACCCTTCCTACAGATACTAAATTGGCCCCCTCCTTGTTATCTTTCCTGAGGAAAGTGAAGACCTGGTTGTTCGAGCAGGCAGTGTAAAGAATATAGGAATATGGAACAATTGGATGATGAAATTGGATCCTGATTCTAATTACGAGACGCTAACGAGATGTTAATTGATGTATAATGGATTGTTTTAATACGCTACTGTTTTAATTGTTTTTAACTGTCTTATGTTATTCTGAGCATTGAATTTTGCTCTTGCTAACCGCTTTGAGTTGCCTGAGGGCTGAGAAAAGCTGTATACAAATATAGTAAATAAATAAATAAATAAAACTCAAAACAGCCCAGTGATTCTGGCCATGAAAGCCTTCGACAACACATTAAAATCTAATCTGTTGGAAATGGGGTGATGGAATCCAGTGGACCGCCTATTTAGAAGCATACCCAGAATTTTATTGTTGAGTGGCTGTATGGCAAATATATTCTAGCAGCATTTTCTTCTGACATTCCACCTGTATATACTTGATGAAGTTGCAAGCCACAGATGCCTCCAACCTGGCAGGATGGTGGCCTTGGGTCTCTCAATGCTCTTGGTCAACAGGACTGTGAGGTGTTGGGTCTGCATGTGTTTTCCTGTCTTCCCTGTAGATGTTTCCCACTGCAGGATTTGGGAAAATTTACATAAAATATGTCACAATCCACCTGTGCACTTTTTTTTGGAAGTCTTGGGTTATATTTCTCGGCCAGTGTAGCTTTTAAGTGGGACTTCTGTGAACGGATGTCCTGGTTTTGTTGGGCTCCATGTCTCTCCCCAATAGGTTTCCATAACCAAGCAAAGACAAGGGTTTCAGTTCCCACTCAGCCATGGACATCCATTGTGCGACAAGGCAAAGTACACTCAGTGTCAGAGAAAGGCGTCTGCACAAATTTTGCCAAGACAATCCTGGGATAAGGTTAATGTTTGTGTTGCTGTAAGTAGGGAATGATTTGAAGACATGCAAT